CCAGTAACATAGCCATTACGCTAACTGCTGGTCCCAAACTATACCTTTAAAAATGGGTTTGAATGGTGGGGCCGGCAGGTGGTGTCGTGGTTAAGGACACTGGACTCCTAAATGGCCAATCACAGCTCAAGTCCCAAACCTGATGGCTTGCTTTGTCACTTTTCCTCTCTCATCCTCTGTTCCTGTCTGTCAAATTAAAATAAATTAATTAATTAAATTAAATAGTTCTTTTAAAAATGGTTAGAATGGGGAGTTTTATGATATATATATATATATATACATCCCAGCGGGAGTTTTAAGCCACCAGGTCCAGGACGCGAACCGCGGTCGACTACATGGGAGTCCAGCGACATAGCCATTATGCTAACTGCTGGTTCCCAATATCATGATTTTTTAAGAGAGATTTTTGCTATAGGGCATGTGCTCACCAGAGGGACAGAAACAGAGAGATAGAAAGCTAGAAATCATCCCCCAGGGGGATAACCATGTCATAATCCCTTCTCCTCTAGAATCTTCTTGGAATTTTGAGCACACATACACACACGTCCAGCGTGAGTTTTAAGTCACTGGGTACAGGACTTGAACCATGGTGGGAGGCTACGTGGGAGCCTAGCAATGTAACTATTACACCATCTGCTGGTTCCTATTTTATTATAATTTTTAAAAACTAAAAATAATTCATTGCTTTTATATCTTATTTTACATTTCTAAATCTCTTGATGTGTAGATTTCCGTTTGGAACAACTTTTCTATGTGCAGTCTCATCCTATGTTATATGATACTTATCTTTCTTGAGGTGGTTCTCCTGGGAAAATAGAAAAGTGGTTCTTTCTCTGTAGGAAAAGTATTTACACTTTGTCCTGTTCTACTACCTATTATGGAAATCTCAACCCACAACTCTTATCAGTAGTAAAAACCAGACCCTATAAAATATTGAAGGTTTATTCTAAGCCAGTTTGAGTGATGGCAGCTTGGATGCACAAACTCAAGCAGCCATGAGAAAGAACTCCGAGGAGTTTGGATTATAATGTATCTTTTTCTTTTTGAGAGATTTTTGCTATAGGCATATGTTCTCTCCAGAGAGACAGAAATCACCCCGCAGGGGGGATGACTACACAGCAATCCCTTCTTCTTCACTCTCCTCTTGGAATATTATGTGCACACACACATGCACCTGGCATGAGTTTCAGGACCCTGGGTCTGGAACTCAACCCACAGCGGGCCACCTGGGAGTCCAGCACCTTAACCACTACACCACCTGCTGACCCCACAAACATATCTTTTTTACATTTCAGGAAAATAGAAGCCAAAAATCTACACATGAAGGTTTTTCATAGTCTTGACCCGAAAATGCAGCACAACCTCCTCCATTATCAACATCCCTCATCAGAGTGGTGCATTATTTTTTAATTTTATTGAACTTTATTTTTATCTTTTTTTTAACCACTTACTTTATTTTTTCTTCTTTTTATTTATTTTATTTTATACATTCAAGCACATTATTTAGCTTACAAAGTGAATATTTCAGTATGTGAACATTTCTCCCTAGTCCAGTTGATAAAACTATAAAATATCTTCAACAGATAATACCACATTTCTTTGTCCCATTAATGCTTTGCCTTCGTATTTTTCTTCTAAAAGTCCTTCCTCAGGCCCTACTCTTCCACACACACTATATCTGGTATTTACACCCATTTACTGTGTTTGTATATCCTTCAATCAATCAGATTCAGTCATAGATTACAGACACTTGGTATATATTAAGTGGGGACATATAGTATTTCTAGGTGTACCATAATTTATCCAGTAACTTATTGAAAGGCATCTTAATTGCTTCCAAATTCAGCAATTATGAATAAAGCTGTTATAAATATCTATATGTGGACATAAGTTTTCAAATTCTTTAGGTAAACACCAAGTAGCACAATCACTGGATTGTGTGGTAAGAGTATGTTTAGTTTATAAGAAACTGCCAAACTGTCTTCCAAAGCAACTGCATCATGTTTCATTACCTCAGCAATGAATGAGAGTTCTGTTGGTCCACATCCTCCTAGCAGTTGATGGTGTCAGTGTTCTGGATTTCGGCCATTCTATTAAGTTTGTGGTGATAACAGAATGACCAAAACCTCGTTTTGTTTTAAGTAAATGGCTTTGATAAATAACTTAGAAATAAAGAGAAGTTTCAGAGTTAAAGATACCAAAAAATTTTAAATTCTTTATAATATACATATGTGTATCTTTGAAATTTAAACTTGTACTGGCCAAAATGCAGAATGGGTATTTTTATAGAGAGACACATAATATTTCTTGCATGTGAAAAAGAGTATTTTTTTAATTCTATAGAATGTACAGATGTCTTTTAACAAGGAACATGAAGAAAATGCATATTTGAGATCTGAAATAATATCCCTCCATGAAGCATCAGAAAAAGCGCAGGTAATTCTTCATTATGATTTCTCTGGTTTTTAGATGTTATTTAATTTTGTTCAATTAAAGAATCAAGAATCAAAATTAATGCTGATTATCTAAATTCATATCATCTCTATCATCCAAAAAAAAATTTTATAACAACATATATATTTGAAGCTTATCAAATTAACTACATTGGTCCTATTACTCTCCAAATTCCTGACAATTACGTGCACAAGATATACTGTTAAATCATGCACTAGTGTATACCATTTTTGTTTGCTTTCTAATTTACTCAGGAATTATTGGTATATACCTTTCCCCCACACATGATGAATTCCTAAACAGTCCAGTGGTGAGGCCAACCGTGATTCCCAGATCTGGTGATTTGAAAGTCACACTGGGTACACATGCATGTGTGCCCAAAATCCCAGGAGGAAGATGGAGGAGAAGGGATCGTGGCGTGGCCATCCCCCCAGGAGGTGATCTCTCACTTTCCCTCTCATTGTCTCTGTCTCTCTTTCTCTGTGGTGAGCATACATGCCCTAAAGCAAAAACTTCTAAAAAATATATGATTCTGGCCAACTCTATCTTGCAGATATAACTGATAACTAAGATAAATATTTTTTCACAAGAATGCAAGTTTCAAAATATCAAAAGAGAATTATTTACCTATATTTATAATATATCTGTAGTATAAAATATTTTTGTTTTATTGACTCATTGGAAAAGTCATATTGCATTTTTGCATAGAAAATCATAAAAAAAAGTCATGACTTTCCAGTGACCTAATATTTTGAAAGACTGATCTTGTGATGGTGAAATCATCTGTGTTTTGCCTTAGTAGATATTACAGTGGATAGTGAAGGGGCTTAGATTGTGTATTATCTAAACAGTTTTGAATGTTCATCATCTAATTAAGGGAATGGGTTTCTGTAATATTGGCGAGGTACCTGCACTGTAAATGTCGCTCTGCAAATGTCTTGCTCTAATTGACCAGTGTCCCAACTTGCAAAGAACAGATCAGTAAAATGCCAAATGCCTCAGTTGTTCCACCAGATGAACAGATCTCTCCTTTTAATTTAAAATTATTTATGGTGTTAACTACAAATATTTGAAAGTATTTTAAAAACCAATGAAATGCTCATTATAAATAGGTTAAATAAGTTAGGTTCACAAATAGCGAGATATTGTGCAATCATTAAAAATACTGATACATAGGATCAGCAAGTGGCATGGAGGTTAAGGTGCTAGTTCCCACATGACTGGTTTGAGTCCTAGACCTAGCAGCTTGAAAATCATGGTGTGTGTGTGTGTGTGTGTGTGTGTGTGTGTGTGTGTGTGCGCGCACGCGCGCCCCCAAATATTGAGAGGAGACTGGAAGAACAGGAACTGTGGGATGGCCATCCCCCCCCAGGATAGGGGGCATGTTGGATTTCTTGCTCTTTCTCTCTGTGTCTCTCTCTGATGAGTATGCGCCCTATAGCAAAAACTTTAAAAATAATAATAAATAAAAAAGATTGAAACTATCAAAGGTTGATCAATATAAGACATTCTAAATTATTTTTGCTTCTGTCCTTAGAAGCCTAATGCCTGTGAAGTCCTGTATGTCTCATTGACTTTCCCAGGTTGTGGAAATGAATCCAGTAACAGAGAATTTGTTTGCATCTCTTAAGAAAATTCTTCATTATCTTCCTATTGTCCTCAGAATAAAATCAAAACTCATTTTTGTCACCTACAAAGCTTTGCATAGTGTGACCTACTGGATCTTCTGTTGAATGAATAAAAACAAACGAACATGAGGTCTTTTGACTATGAAGTCTGCATATTTAAAGATCATCCTTTTCAATCCTAGTAATTGATTGTATAAAGTCAAATAAGCCATAGCAACCAGGTCCCAAAATTCACTGGGGATAAAAAAGGGGAACTAGCTTTTATTGAACACCTATCATGCTCAATAAATGTCAGGCATGTTGTGCATACATCAACTTTATGAGGAAGGTGTTAAAGTAGTCATTTTTCTGTTGGGTCAGTTAGAAGCTGGAGTGACTGAATAATTTTTCAAGTTAACAAGATGGTAAGTAATTAAGTACATAGTCAAACCTAGACAGATTTGAAGAGCCAAAATCCATGCTATTGAAATTTATCATTGTAGAAGTGCAATCAATGTTTATGATTCAAAGTACTCATTCATCCTTTCTTTCAGCAAAGATTTGTTGGGTGCCAATGGCTGCTAGATAGTCTGTAAGATTCAGGTAGTAGAGTAGATAAGCAAAAAATAAGAAATAGTCTTTGGTGTCTAGAAACTTACAGAGGATTTTAGACCTTCAGTAAAGAGTCATATCATTGACTACGTGTAATATGCGATTACTACCATAAAATGTGGCTTGAAGGCATAGAATACAATTTTATGAAAGTATATTAAGGCAAAATCCTGGTGGCACAGCAGTAACAACACATCACTCTACAATGTTGAGGTCACGTGCAAAGGTCCAGAGTTGCATCTATTAAGTCTCTGTGTATATGCAGGTCATGTGCCCATGATCCTATCTGGCTGGGATTGGGGACAGATTGCAGCATGAAGACCATGTTGGTTTTCCTTTCTAATTTTGTCTCTCACTTGCTTTGTATCTCTTTCTCATGGAATAAATAAATAAATAACTTTTTAAAAAGAAGTATATTGGGACCAGCAGTTGATGTAATGGCTATGTTGCTGGACTCCCATGTAGTTGACCACAGTTCAAGTCCTGGACCTGGTGGCTTAAACTCATGCATAACGCATGTGTATGTATGCCCAAGATCTCCAGAGAAGAATGGAGGAGAAGGGATTGCAGTGTGGTCGTCCTCCCTCAGGGGGTGATTTCTTGCTTTCTGTCTCTCTCTATATATATCTTTTTGGAAAGTGCACATGCCCTATAACAAAAACCTCTAAAAAA